AGGGTTGTTCGACCCCCAAAGGGGTCGCAACCCACAGGTTGAGAACCGCTGTTGTAGACTAAGATGGAAAAAAGGTCTAGCAATCTACTTCCTAAAAATAGCCAGTGAAAATCCTGTGGATCAGTGGTCTTACCCACAGCTAATCACGGAATGGCACAGGACCAAGCAGCATTTTTGCCCCCTTGTGCATGGGGCTGCCATCAGTCCAGTCGACTTGCCATCAGCTAATAAGCAGAAACATCCTGACTTCAGTTTGAGGCTGTCTCTAGGGCCACGGGGTCCTCTGTTAAGACCCATCCATCAGCACAGAGACCATGCTCAGAAACTTACAGGGTTAGGTCCATGAAGCCATATTTTGGTATCTTTGTGTTTTACCTCTGTCCCAAAAGATCATTAGTAAGGAGATCCACCCTTAGGTGAGCTCCGCTTGTCTTATAAAAGAAACTACTTCTTTTGTGTGCTACCCACTCGTAGGTGTCTTGTTATATATAAATAGACCCGTTTGGATAAAATAACTGAAGGGTTTTGAGCTTGATTCTAGCATGAAAACCAGTGTACTTCCCTTAGAAATTGCTTGGAAATAGACTTTGGCTCAGAGGAGAGACAAAACATGATGGTGTCATGAGAAACTCTTAAATGCCCCACAGGCCCTACTTAGGTTCATTGGGTGGATGGACTGGCAGATACACCTCTTCAGAGGTGGTGGATTCTACTCATAGAAGCAGATTTATCTGTGAAAATGAACTGTGTGCTGTGATGCCGCCTATCCGCAGCCTTGGCACAGCCTCGCCCTGCTTGAAACTGGAAGTTTCGTTCAGGCTCTTTGGGAACTAATTGCTGAGCTTTACTTTGACCTGATAAATCTTTTTCTTAACTTAGGGGGAGTGAGGAAAGTATGCTTGGAATCAAGTTTTTATTATGCAAAGCCTAGCATTTTGGGTGTCTCATTATTCCTTTGGGGAAAAAAAGAACCAGCAGCCACATGCCACAATAAAAAGCAAAAATCACTGCCATCAAGTTGATGCCAACTCATAGCAACCATATATAAAACCAGCGTAAAGCTGTCTCTTGTGGGTTTCCAAGGCTGTAACTCTTGATGGGAGGAGAGCCGTGGCTTTCTCCCTCAGAGCAGCTGACTTGGTTAGCAGCCCAACACTTAACAACTTCCATCAGGGGTCCATAAACTCCATCAATAGTGGAGATGAAAGAAAAAACACCTCACTTGTCTAATAACCTACGTGCCTACTTCTTCAGTACCACTTTATCCCGCTGCATTCTGCAGTTGGACGTGGAATGCTGCTTGAGTGAAATTGATGGTGTAACTGAGTTTCTTTCTAGTAAATTAATCTTGGAATGTATCATACATACGACACCTTTGAAAACAGCTAATTTGGCTTGACATTGTGCCTTAAAAGGGTTTATAAATAATCGCATGCTAGATCGAGTCATGAAAAACGATCCTGAAAATAGCAAGATACTTAAAAGAGTTGAACACAGATTTAACATTAATAGACAGCCACAACAACCTTAACAGGGTCTTCAGGGAAATTTTTAGCAGGCTAGTTTAGCCAAGGTTAACCATTTAAAAGGTCAGTTTGGTTTGCTGTAGCCAATAGCAGTCAAATTCCGTATGTGAAACACTATAGTGGCCAATCTGTATCATATGACTTCCCTGTGTCTAGCACAATTAAGAATCCCTGTACCTGATAGGAACCAGGTAACCAGGGAGTAGTGCAAGTGCTTACTTGTTCATTGCTAACCAAAAGATTGTGGAGATCTGAGTCTGTCCAGAGGCACCTTGGATACAAGGCCTTCAGATCTACTTCTGAGAATGCAAGAGCACATTTTTAACCCTGATGCACATTGAAGTCTCTCGGAGTTGAGGCTGGTTTAAATTTGGGTTGAGTAGATGGAAAGGGATTCTGGCTTTTCAAAATAGAAACTACATCCAACCACCACCCCTCCCCACAAAATCATGACTTGTCTTCATTTCCTTTTGTTTTGGCAGGTTCATATAAGTACCACTGGGTTAATTGTGACCCCACCCCCAAGCAGCCCAGTGACAGCTGGCCCCGCATTTACTTTCCCACCAGATGCTCCCTACCAAGCGGCCCTTGTGGTAAGTATCGTTTCTACCACCTTCGTTTCTCTTGGTAGAATTTAGTTGTGTGAACCAGGGACACTCCACCTGCAGCTCCCTGTTGATATTTGCTATGTGCGGTGGCTCTCTATCGTTCAGCTATTATCTGTTAATCTTGCCGAAAAATGAGAAAGTCTCTTGCTTGCAGCCTGAAAAAATTTTTTAAACAGTGACCTGGAGTGATTAGAAGACCTTTGAACTATACTTTTCATTTTCATTAAAGTTGAGCCTGGTTAACCTTCATATCCTTTGACTTTCTAGATCATGGATCTTTCTTAGAAAGATACATGTATAGAAACACTGAGGGAAGTGAGGTTTGCTTTGGGTGACATAGTAAATTGGACCAAACCTTTATATTTTAGGGTTCCTTTTTTAGGCTGTATGTTTCTAAACGTGTTTAGCCTGTTGCTCCCTTTTCAAGAAAAAGAAAATTACTTGACACTCCTCTGGCAATGTTTGTACTCTAGCCCACAATTCAGGATAAAATGTAGGTATCTGCTTTTGCAGCCCCTTGGATTGTTCTAGCATGCCACTCCACTCCCACCCCCCACCGCCAGGGTGCAGTATTGTGGGAACAGTGGTTTAGGTGCTCATTTTTGCTTGGTATTCTCCACAACTATGGAAGAAAAATGAGGATTTATACTCCTGTAAAAGAGCTACAGCCTCGGAAACCCACAAGTGCTGTTCTGTCCTGTCCTATAGGATCTCTAAGAATTGGAATCAACTCGGAGGGAAGGAAGGAGGTAGGGGAGAGAGAGCGATGGCTGTCAAGATATACTTACAGCATTGGAACACTCCCTCACATTGTAATGTTGATTTCCCTTCAGAAAACAGAGCAGCCTACAGGTACTCTGAACACCAATTGCTTTAAAACATTAAAAAACAAACCACTGCCATGGAGTCCATTCTGACTCATGGTGACCTACAGGACAGGGTCGGACTGTCCCTGTGGGTTTCTGAGACCGTAACACTACAGGAGTAGAAAGCCCCATCTTTCTCCTAAAAAGTTATTTGGTGGCTTTGAAATGTGGACCTTGCAGATCGCAGCCCAACTTATAACCACTACATTACATGGGCTCCTAGAATATCCTAGTGGGAGAAAGTAATAAATGGTCTTAGAACAGCCAAGGGAGATAAATCGAAAGCCAGATAATTAAAAGAGAAGAAGCAAACAAATGCAATTCTGGTAGCTGAAACACAATACAGAAGTTTGATTCTCTGTTGCTCAAATGATAGGCAATGAAGCTGCAAGAAACCACAGTTAAGGCCTCTGTCATCTCAGCCGGCGCTTTGGTTTATAGGCTGCTTCTCAGGGCTGAGGAATGTGGGGCTTTGAACAGATTCATTCCAGTTCAAACCCCTGCAGAGAATTTGCATTTCAGCCCAGACATACTGAATCAGACTGTCTAGCAGCAGTTCTCAACCTGTGGGTCACTACCAACTTTGGGGGCCGAACGACCCTTTCCCAGGGGTCACCCGATTCATAACAGTAGCAAAATTACAGTTATGAAGTAGCAACGAAAATAATTTTATGGTTGGGGGGGGGGCACCACAACATGAGGAACTGTATTAAAGGGTCGCAGCATTAGGAAGGTTGAGAACCACTGCTCTATTATCTAGCCCGATGACGTGAAACTTTGAGAACTTTTCTTAAGCTTGTTCTTGTATTGAAATAGAAGTTAAAATGTTTGGACATGTTTTCTGACTTTGACAGCTTCCCTGGTAAGACAGCTGTTTGGTGAAGGGGAGAAGTTGTGCCTTGATTCCTCTGGGGAGAAGACGAAGTTCAATGAACTTTTATTGAAATGTGGTTTCTCTGAGATGTTGTGAGTCTCGGGTATTGTGACCAAAGCCCAGCTCCATAACCATCCTTCCATCTTGCCCCATCCCAGTAGTGTACAAACACTGCCGGGTGCTGCTTGCGTTTCCAGATGACTGCCTTGCATGGAAAAACTCCAACTAGATTTCTTAAGGGGGTGGGTGGGGGGAAGCCGAGCTTTTCTGATCTGAAAAAAAAAATTAATTAGTGGAAAAGCCATAAGGCTGGCTGTGCTTCAGTTTTTGTGGGCTGAAAAAAATGTCCAAGATAGCAAATGGCCAAGCCGACTCGAGGGCAAATCAGTGGTCACAAGGGAGCATGACTATACTGAAAAACAATTTGCATTTCCTCATTTTATCCTAGGATTATATAAGTAAGCCTGCATGTTAAACAATAAGAGGCTTATTAAACAGTGTGCTACAGTGCCAATTTCATTTAATGAAAAACTAATTATAAACAGGCCTGGCTGTCATCCCTAGGAGAGGCCTAAATCTCAAAGTTTCCTGGTAGGTTGGCAGTAGTGTTTGGGATTTAATATGTTTGGTGGGAGTGGCGAGATCTCCGTAGTGTGTGCCCTCTACATCCCACATGAATTGTGGCAAGTGTTTTGTTTAAAACGTGCAGTGCTCCCCAAGTGAGGGGCACGATCCCAGCAGTAGAATGTGGCTTTTCAGAAGAGAAGCCGTGCTTTTTAGTGTCAGTAATTTGGTAATAAATGCCATCACTAGAATAAGAGGTGAAAATAACTTCTCGTACTTTTCTCAAAAGTAGGGACTTTCCTATTTTTTATGCAGAATGAAGCCATGAACATAATGTCCCATATATTTCACATGTCACAGCTAAGATGTTAAGTAGCCACTATTACAAACAAGGCTGGTATTATGTCTGCCTAACACAGCCAGCAAAATATTAATAGTTGTGTTTTCTTGCAAATAATTTTGTGGGATGAGGAGGATGAAAATCTCAGTCATATCTTCTGCACGATGGCAGGCAAATCTGGGAGTGAATAATACAACTTGAGTAGACAGGTATAGGTGATCTGTACTGGCTGAGTGTTGTTGAGTTAGTTGCAAGATGTCACAAGGTATCCAGGTCAAATACTACTGGTGGACAACTTATGAAACAGATACAGTCCACATATTTATAACCTAATTAGCATGATTTTTAAAAGGAAGATATAAACACAAGCACTTGCATATGTAGAATGTATGGGTGCGTTCAAAGAAACAAAATGTAGTGGTCTCCAGTTCTCGAGGTAGCCTGTATATTTAGCTCATTGTGATCCATGGGGAGGTTAAGGAGAATTTGTTGCTGACAGAAAAAGCAAGAAAGGGCTCTGGAAGCCCAGAGATCAGGCACTGGCTCGGGTTGTTTGAGAGGTAGAAGAGTCTTTGGAGTTGGCAAGAGTTTTGGAATTTGTAGCAATGAATAAGTCATGGCAGAAACTTCCATAGTTGCAACATGGACTAGAGCATCGCAGGCAACTAGACCTCTTGATACATATCAAACTCTATGAGCTAGAAGGGCAAACAAATGAGCTGGTGCCAAGGGCTCAAGTAGAAGGAAACAGTGCTGAAAATGATGGCAACAAATGTGCTTGACACAATGGATGGATGGATGTATTGTGATAAGAGCTGTATGAGCCCCCAATAAAATGATTTAAAATTTAAAAAAATAGAAGGTAGAAACAGAATGTTTGTTCATTCATTTATTCATTCTAGAAACATTTATTGATTTTTCTTGTTGTCACTTGCCATTGAGTTGATTCTGACTCATGATGAACCCCATGTGTGCAGAGTAGAACAGGTCCGTGGAGTTTTCCTGGCTGTGACCTTTCAGAACATCCAACCTGTTGGTAATTGCTTAACAGTTGACTTCCCCCAGAGACTCCAGGCTGGAAAGGGAGGTTCTCCAACACAAAGGCAAGTATCTGCTGTGTTCCAGGACAAGAGAGAAAACAGCTTATATCAAATATCTGTTAACTCCATTTTACAGTTCAATAGACCTTATATACACAAAGTTAACTGATTAGTATAGAATCTCTCACCTTTAAATGTATAACAATAAAGAGAAATTTCATTCCTAGAGAGATTTTTTTAATTACATCTTTCCTTTCCCACACAATCTTCTAAGCATTGATCTCTAGGAGTGTGTGTGTGTGTGTGTGTGTGTGTGTGTGTGTGTGTTAGTTTTTCTTCACAGTTCTCAGAATTTCCCTCTTCAGTTGAGAGGGGTGGGGAACTTCACCACTTTACGTCTTTATCCCTATTTTACTGAGTTCTGACACCTGTTTTAATCATGAGGCTCAGCATTTCCATTTTTCCACTTCCTACTTGTTATGAAAAATAAAGCAAAATGCCTGAATAACTGTGTGAACACCGCTGCACACAGATGCAGTGCTGCTAAAACTGGGGCCCTGTTGACTTCAGGGCGCATCACCAGGCAGTAGCTTGAACTGTTTCTTCGTCAACCAATGTATGTACACATCAAGATATAAAAAGACCACCTATAGATGCTGATGTATAGAGTTAAATCTGGGGGTCAATTGGAAAACAAGTGTAGAGAAGAATGAAGATGGGACTAGAGGCACTCAGAAATACCCAGAGCTCACCCTTAGCTGTCACTTTTCTGCTTTGGGAGGGAACATACACATAGGGACAGTTGGCAGGAAAGGAACACTCTCTGTCTATTGAATTTGTGCTTGGTCTAGCTCTGTCTGCATGGGGACATGGAGGCAAGCAGCCAAGAAGAGAATGTCCAAGAGGAGGGTTTTGCACCCACGTCCTGGACCTTTTTACCATCATATCCTCTAGCATATATGGCCTGTCTGTGGCCTGGAATCCAGCCCCGTTCTTCTCGACAGGGACTCAAGGAACTGCCCTAAGAGGCTGAGCCAGGTGTGGGACACAAATTTTGTGACCCCAAAGCGTATTACAATGCAAAATTGCCTCTTATTTCAAGATCAGTGGATCTGTAGAACAGAACTGGGCATGCAGTCTTGCCTTTTACCTTAGCAAGCATTTGTAAATTGGTTTTTCAGTTGTTTTTTTAAAACAGGTATTATTTAGAAATTGTGGTACCCATCTCAGACCATTCCCAAATACTGGTCGCTTGATTCACAGGTTTGAGTCTATGAACGCGTAAGCAGGAGCTCAGTTTC